TATCCAGTGCATGAAAGAGAGAGGTCTTCCCTGGGTGTGTCAGAATGATCATCTCTCATAAGGCAGCTTTCACAGGAAAAAGGAGACAGCATAGTACAAGAAGCAGACTGGTTGTCAACAGGTTATTTCCCTTCACTGATTTAAGTAGAAGTTAATTCCCTCTCTTCTCAGGTTGATGAACCCCTTTTGGCTAGTTACTATGAGTCACCTACTTTTTGGAAGAAAGATGGATCTTTGGGGATTTTCTGATTTTCGTAAGTTTTTGATGATTGCATAGCATTTACTTTAATGACTACATTTTGAGTTTGCCTTCTGGGGCCTCCTGCAGGAACTCAGTTCAAATAAATGGCTACATTTAACAACTTGAACTTGGGTTTATACTGAAACATAGAACAAAGTAGCATTTGACCCTGTTCAAAGCTATAGGCCCATCAGTATTGCCCATCACCATTACCGTGAAAAGCATGTTAACTCCATTTTCAAAACACATATAAACTCATTTCAGATGATCTGAAATTGAATTGTTAACTCACTTTGATAAAAAGGAGTGATAGGTCAGAGTAAGCCAGTGTGTCTCTGTTAATGGGCTCTTATGAAATGTTTTGGTTAATAGCTCCTGATTGTCTTTTCTTTCCTCTTCTATTCTCTAGTTATAAACAAGCAAATATACATATATTTTGTTATATATATATGCATGCATATACACATAACATATAGTTAAATATACATGTATGTATAATACTTTAATTTATAAATTCTACCATTAGAACCTAACTTCTTGAATTCTTGGAGCTAATCCCAAGAATAAGGGGGAAAATGTGCATTTTATAGGGATTTTCCCCTAAAGTTTTTTTTGTCCTTTTTGTTTATTTTATATTGCTAAGCAAAGCTATTGCTTTATAAAGATGAAGGAGAGTGACTGTATGTGGGAATGGATCTGAGCAGTGACGGGGATGGACCAGACAGTGAAATACCATTTATACCACACAAATACATGCAAAAATGAAATGCATAGAAAAGATGTTTTAAGGATCTAAAGTAAATACAAAGAGAAGAAAAAAATTCTTAAAATTTCTACTTCTAGATTGCCTCTAATACAAGAGGCCCATGCTGGTACTTAGGTGGTTTAAAGAGGACTTGAAATCACTTGCTTCCCATCTGTTTGTTTGAATTCTCAGAAATAAGACAGCCTTGAACTCTACCCCTATTTAATCACTGGGAAATGCAAGCCTGAGGGGAGGGACCAAAGAAGTATGACTGGCAAACTGGAACCCCAGCTGGCAGTTTTCAGGACAGGGGGCTGGGAGGGTCTGGACGTCTGCAATGACAAGCCATCCTGAGCTGAGCTGCAGGTTTTCCCAAGCAGTTCCTCTTCTCTCCACCTGTTCTTTTCAGTGTAGAATGTTCCTGAGAAGCACTGCAAGGTGATGACTTCTTGTCTTTAAGAAAACTTCCTTCTACATCTACCATTTGTTAAAAATGCAGTGAACTAGAAGATATACGATGAAATGCAACTGGTGAATACCCCCAGATATGGAGGGATCCCTATCTGGATCCCTCAGTGTGAGAGGAGGTTCAAAGCTTGACCAAAGCTGCTTTGATGTGAAAAAGAAGAAATATTGTTTTCCTCCTGAGCACAGGGAAGGAGATTCCCCTCATGTCCTGAGGAACAGGAATATGTACATCCCTAGTCTTACAGCCAGGCTGTGTGCTAACATAATTTGGCTTTGCTAGATTGGTTTTGTGGTAGGCATGATGTGTGCATTCAGGTAATCTTTAAGGTGACTTTTAAGATTAAAAAAATTTCAAATATTTGTTTAAAAGAATAATATAGCTTATTTGAAAGTAAAATGTTACTGACTCTTCATTGCAAAAGAATTTCAAAATCCTAACTTGGTAATAAGTTGACACACAAATCCCCCTTCAGTCAACTGTTCATTCATTAATTTGAAAACCTCTTGCAGGCAGATGCAAAAAAAAAGTATTAATGAAAAAGTATTAATGAAGCCTACATTCCAACAACCAAATAGTTACTAGAGTGCAAAAGATTTAATGTCTTTGGGCTTTTTAAGCTGACACAGACTATATTGAATACACCTGAAAGAAAAGGATGAAGTAAAACTATTACCTGGGCTACTTGGAGAAAACTACAACACTTATTCATTTTTTCTGAACAAATGAAGTATTTGGTTGTGATGAATTTAATTGAAATGTGTTTAGAGGTTGAATAAAAGTTACATAAAGACCTGCATTAGCAACACATAATGTCCTTTTTGTCTTAACCTTTTTCAGACCCGAAATTAGGTTTTAAGGAGGGAAAATTTTGCAAACAATAGAACTGAAATAGGTTCTTCCTAATGTATTGAGTAAGCTCTTAAATATAGTTATATAAACATAGTTTTTTTTAAAAAATGGAGAAAAATCTTTTCATTAATAGAAAATTCCTTGTCAATCTTGTATTGTGGTAGAGAGATATCACAGTGTGAAACTCACCCTGTTGGTTTATAAAATTATTTCAAAGGTGGGAGACACCTGTGCAGGCATGTACCACAGGATTCAAAGAGGTTACAAGAACTGTGAGAGATAATAAGCTACTTTCTGTGCCAGCAGCTATCTGGGGTGATTGCTGTCATTCATAATCACCCTTGAGGATGGTAAGAAGGAAGGGCAGAAAATCCAAGCCCCACCATTTCTTACCCTAGGTGTAGTGAGGAGCAAACACTGTGAACAGTCTTCTCTCTTCATGGAACTGGCATCCTGTGTAGTGAGTGGTAGATTGTACCCGACAACTTTTCTGTCTAAAAGACTTTTCATAAAACTACTCTTTAAGGATTCCAAAAGCCAACTTCTCCCTGAGTTCTTTGCTCTCTGTGCCAATCACTGCAACCCTATCTCCACCTGTGTGTATGAGAGACAGAGAGAGAGAGAGGTCACAGGAGAGTATTAACCTATTTACATTTTGTACAGATTACTGGGATTTGAATTCTGATCTTCATGCTAGCTAGGCAAGCTCTCTTGAGTTTGTATGAATCTCTGAGTTACACTAAAAAATACTTTTTCCAAATACATTGTTTTCAGTAAGATCACAATTCACAATATTCTATCAGAATGCTAACAAAGCAACTCCAGGCATTTGGGACAGGTTACCTATCTAACATAGTAAGACTTCACTATTGATTGCTCACTAGATTAAAGCTATGCAGGATGACTATCTGTGATATATTTTTTTTAAAGAAAGCACAAATACATACTCTAATGCATTGGAAGAAATTAGCTAGAATTAATCAAAAACATTTTGTTCTCTTTATTTTTTTAGCCTAACCCATACAAACTCTGGGATAACAAATAGGAATATTTTCAATTTTTTAATCATTTCATTGGTTCACTGACTATTACCTTCCAGAAAGATGATTTATATTTTTGCAGGTTATCTATCAATCTATCTTTCTATATTCAAACATACATGTGCCACTCTAAAATACTTAATACTATGTATACTCACTGTATGTTTGATTTAAAGTCTTATATAAATTCAACTATTTAAACAATTTTCAAAAACAACATCTTTTTTCTAAACTAATATTAAAACCTTTAACTTTGACATGTTCTACATACTACAAAAACACTTGCCAAAATTTCAATAATTTAATAAATTTTTTCTGATTAAAGAAAGTAAATATACCTTGTCAGCCTTTTTTAGTAAACTCATCAAATAACCTAAGCAAACAATGCGGTCACACATGCAGCAAGTGCTTGAGAAAGTAGGACTTTGTTGATGCTATCAAAGAAAAAGCAAAACTCCCCATGGTTTACTGTTTTGCTTCACCTTATTTTTCCTCTTGGTTTAAAATAATTAGTTTTTAATCATTTTTATCTAATTTTAGACTAAAACAAAGTAAAATACACATTTTAAATATTTAACCTGGCTGTATAAATATCCAAAAAGCACATATGCAGGCAGTAGCCAGGAAAGCCATAACCTGTAGCTATGATATGGGCAATGCTTTGTTGACAGTTACGTGAGGGAGAAACACAAAATTGGAGAAATGCATTTCCCATTTGGAAAGAGTGACCAGTCAGAAGTGTCTCTCATGTGAATGGCCAGTCTTGGTATTTTGACTGGAATGTGTTCTTAGGTCACAATGCAGTTCTGCTGACAAAAATCAAGTGTGCCGTACCACATGTTAAAAGCACTGACATCTACTCTAAGTGACTTCAGCATCCCTAACATCTAAGGCTCACATCTTGCACTGAAAAATATTAGCAGTCAGGATACAGAAACTTTTCAAATGAAATCCTGAACTATTGTTTACCCACTATTGAAGAAAGTAGGGAATGTTCCACTCAATATAGGGAGTACACACATTCAGAAAACTTATGCTGAGGGGCTACAAGTGGTGTGGCTCAAGTGGTGGAATGTATGCCTGGCAAGTGCAAGGCTCTGAGTTCAAACCCCACTACTCCAAAATTAAAAACCATAAAATTTATGACTGTTCTTTTGCACATTTACATTTATTATATATGAACAAAACATCCCATTAGAAAATTTAAAGGTGCAGAAACACATCAAGAAGAAAATTAAAATTGCTCATAATCTCATCTTTGAAATAGCCACTGTTACATTTTAGTATAGTACAGTTCGTTCCTTCCAATGTATTTGCATCCACTTTCTACTTCCTAATACAACAGAAATCACACCTTATGTTTTAGACTATCCTTCTTTTCTCATTAACACTGCATCACTATGATTTTTCATGTTGCTACATATTCAAAGTCATGAATTTTAAGCCCTATGCAATCACCAACCGGGGAGCTGTGTGGTACAGTATTTGACAGGTAAGGTATTGAAGGATTATGTATGATATTTGCAACTTCTAAAGCAAGGATGCTTCATTTTAAGGAATTACAAATTAACACACAAAAATGATTAACTAACATTTCTATGTAAAAATAAAATGGATAATAAAAGGACTGATTCATAAAAGTCACTGTCTCTGGAGGTTGTTTTCAAAGAGCTCATGTCTCTGATGACTCATTTTTCAAATATTCTCCAGGTAGCTAATGTCACTGTGATGATGTTAGTGTTGAGGAAAATGCCTACATATTTTGCTCTATGTGGGCACTGTGATCATTCCTCATGAATGAAATCTCAGGCATGCATGCTCTCGTCTTATAACGGAGAAGTGTCCTCTGGGTCTCTGGCAGGCTGATGGCAAAGTTCACCTCTGGAACATGGAGTCTCAGTGGAGAACTTGGTTCCCAGATTCAACTATGATTACTGTAAAAAATAAAAGTCAGTTAGAACCACAGTGCTCAGTGAATGTCAATGCAAAGATGAGTGCAAAAGACTGTAACTTAGGTTTTCTCTATAGTCAAAGTGGAGAAACACTATCAAGATAACAAATCAATAAGCCTGATAATGTAAAAAAAAAGGCTCAACAATTAACTTTTCATTGAGTTTTGCAAATGCTTAAAAGTATCAATTGTACTTCAAGTTTAGCTAATTTGGAAAAATCATCAAAACCTTTGCTTTAACCAGAATATCTGTGAATGACACTACTATATATCCTTTTTATCCATTTAATAGAAAGTTAAATTTTCTAAAACAAAAAGCAAGTAGTTTTTTTCTGGGTTTTAAAATAACCTTTATTTTTTTAAGTTAACATGTGCATTACAGGAAAAAAACACACAAAGCAAAGAGCAAAATCATCCATAGTCACAAGCAGTACAGTTCAGTTGAAATGTCATTTTAAAAAATTAAAATAGCAAGTGTGCTATCATCGTGTTAGGGTTAAGTACCCAGAAATTGCCGCTCACAAACCAACTCAGTCTGGACAGTGATTGGCACAACACAGAGGCTCATCACAACCAGCAGCAGACTGAGCAAGGCTCTCCAGGACAGCAACTGGATTATGGTCACTGTTTTCTAAGCAAGTCCGGAACGCCCCTCTGATTGCACCTAAATCTCCAGGCAATGATACAAACTCTTCGAGTCCTCTTCAGTGATGGAATTAGGAGATGTGCTCATGTTAGCATGTCTAGTTATACTGGTTAACAGCTGTTTTCTCCTCCTGGTCCCTCAGGTGTGCCTCATATCAAAGCCTCATTGCCCACAAGAAGGAAGTGTATGTTACGCCAAATGGTACATGACAGTTACTCCATGTGTCACTGTTTCATTCAGGAAGTAAAAATTGCCCTCATCAGAAAAGCTGAAACTCACCTACTAGCAGACACATCTTTGCTTCTTACATTTGAAAGCACAGGCTCAGAATGGAAAAAGGATTTAAACCACCAGGTGGATTCAGCCACTTCTGGTAACCCTACCAAAGAAAATTTATATTAAATTCCTTCAAACAAAATTGAGGAATTAAAAACAAAGGGAAATCATGAGGACAACACTGATAAGAAATAAAGTGAGTACCTTGCAGAGACTTGTCATCATCCATGAAGCTCACAGAGTCAGAGCTACTTAATGAACTAAGTGAAGAAATACTGGACTCTGAAGGAAACAAATGAAAATAAAAAATAGATAAATAGCAGACAAACAAGCATACATATCATTTATAGAGAAAAATCTTAAGTAGTGTGGTTTGAAATCATTCACTCCTGACTAATGAATTCATAAATTGAAAAATTGATCCAATTGTCCATCGTTAAAAAACTCCATAATATGGAATTAATAGGAAAGCACATTTTGTATTAATGTTATACTCATTTGCATGATGTACACCTCTCTCTGTATGTATGGATGTAGAATTCAAAGTATATTATAAATGTTGTCAAATTCAATAACTTAAGAGCTAAAAATAATGAGTATTATTATACTACATTAGAAAAGACACATTATATATATATATATATATATATTTAAATCCTACAAATTACCAAATTGAGAAATTAATAAATAATTTTGAAATGATTTTAAATTTTCTCATTAGACATGTATTTAAACCAGTAAGACTCTTAAAAGACCATAATATAGCCACATGTAGAGCACACACTTGTAATTCCACCACTCTGGAGCTTGAGGTAGAAGCACCAAAAGTTAAGGCCAGCTGGGTGCCAGTGGCTCACACTTGTAATTCAAGCTAGTTGGGAAGATAATATCAGGAGACTGTGGTTCAAGGACAACCCAGGCAAAATGTTTACGAGAACCTATCTCAACCCACAGGTGAACATTGTGGTGCACACCTATCATCCCAAGCTCTATGGGAGTCTGAGATCAGGAGGATCTCATTTCCAGGACATCTGGGGCAAAATAAAAAGAAAAACTTCACAAGACCCCTATCTCAACAGATAAAAGCTAGGCATGGTGGCAAATGCTTGTAGTTGTAGCAAAGACTGAAAGCATGACAGGAGGATTGTTGTCCAGGTCAGCCTGAGAAAAAAGACAGACCCTGTCCACCAAATAACCAGAGCCAAAAGGATCAGAGGCATGGCTCAAGCAGTCTCAGGGGAAAGTCCTGAGTTCAAGTCCCAGCACCATCAAAAAAATAATTATAATAAATTAATTAATTAAAAGTTTCAGTTCAGCCTAGGCTACACAGTAAGACCTTGTCACAACACCCACATACAAAACAGACTACAATCTATAAATAATATCTACTGATTAAATAGCACACATAAATGTGCCTAGTTTATTGGGTTTTTTTGTAAAGACAATAATCCATGGGTGTTTCTAAATAATTCTATAAACAGCTGAAATACGAGTTTTCTGCAGGCTACTGGCAAAGATACTTTTAATGAATGGGAATTTGGTTCTGAAAATTTCAGTAATTTCATGAAATTTCTCCATCATCCCTAAGAAGCTACAATTTCTCTTCAGTTATTAATATGCACAGATGGGTAAATTAATAAAAGTAAAACTGGCCAGATAGATACTGACTTATTATCCATAATAGAAATGGAAATTAGACATCTATGAACATGAACCATGATATCTTGTCTGTTTCAAGGAACTGAGTAATATTCATTTATGCAAAATTATGGCTTTAATGTGTCCAATAAAATACAAAGTACCTAGGCTTAAAATATGATTATGAAACAAAAGCTTATTTTCACTTGTTTATAGCTTTATTGATATGACATGATGATAAAAGAACTAAGCCTGGATAGTACCACTGCAAGAGCTTTCTCTTCTCTACCAAAAGTTGTCAGTGTTCCTCCTTAAGTTCTAAACGTGATGCATGAGTCAACAGAACCCCGCAAACATCACCCCAAATTCTATTCTCTAGTGACGATACAACTTACTTCGATAATACTGGTTTTTGGCCAGAAGACAACCGATGGAAGGCACCGATGCCATAGGTCCACTGTGACAAACACCAGACAGGCTGTGGGCAGCAATCTGTGCTGTAGCGTGAAAAGAGACTGTGTGTTAATAACATAGATGTCCCTTTTCCTTTTACCATGTGAAATCTTGTTTTGTAAAGAAACATCATTTACTATGTAATAAGAATCTGAAACAAGGAATTTAAAAGCTTACACAAAATTATAGTCAAATCCAGCATTAAAGAAAAATTCAGTGAACTAATATATTAGTTGGAAAAGGAAGAAAACTGCATATTTGACTACAAACAATGTGCATGTAACTCCATCCAAAACAAACCTAAATTTCAGGAGAAAAGTGTTAATTCAGGCAAAGTACTGGCACTCACGTGTTTGATTTTCCAATATGATCTCTTTTGTTTAAAGTTTCTTCAGAAAATGCACACTTTGAAGAATCAACTCTTAGTTATCTGAGCAAGGCTATATCACCCAGAAGCCAGAAGGCCCTTCTAGGCACTGTCAGTGTGACCTGGACCTCTGAGCATGCCTTATATCAGACACCCAGGCTGGCTGGAGCCCAAGCCAGGATGATTTGAGCTGAGATGGCATGCAGCCACACAAAGGCAGCCAGTGATGTTCTCTGCCTTCTGCCCTCCAGCTGTCAAAAGGCCTTCAAACATGTCAGGAGCCAAGTTAAGCAGCTGTCAAAAGAGTAGGGCTTGGCCTTGACCCAGATTTGGATTTATCCCCTTCATGTCACAGCTTATGACTAACTGCTATGTCCTGGAGGGAACTAATACCCAGGTATCTTTTCACTACATATGACTGAAGGACCAAACTGGGCACAACTGGGGATATCACAGATCATCTGCTGTCTAGCAGGGGAGAATGTATTCACCCACAGACATGAGAACAAAAGGCACAACAGAACAATGACAAACCCTGTGGATTCTTATGGGAAAGGAGCATATGCAGTAGATCTTGATGGATGGGCAGACAGAATTTTAGAGGGAATGAAAAAGTCTTGGATAAAGGGGGAAATTCATAACGTTCTATCAATATTATTTACTGATGCAAAAACTCTTAATCTAGTTTTAATGTTTTTTATATTGATGATTTTTCCATTTAATTGACTCAGTTCATTTAGAAATCAAATTCTGGCTAGTCTTTATGTTGAAGTGTGATCATTTCAAATGTTTTAAATTATTTGGTCATCATTGATTCTCTTTGTGTATTCTTTTTTATTCAATTTTAGTGATGTACCTATGGTTATAAAATTATTCATGTCATTTGGCTTTTCAAACATTCAAAATTATTCTAATTTGATAATATGGTTGTTTCAAAATATCATTCCTGACAAAGAAAGAAAAGTACTGCATGTCCTTGCTTACCTGTGGAATCTAAAATAGTTGAATACATTAGAAGGAGATAATAAAACAGTCACTATTAGACATGAGGAGGTAGGGATAGTAGAAGACATTGAGCCAAGGGTAAAATTTGCAGTTATGTAGGATGAGTAAGTGCAGACATCTAATGTACCCCATGAGAGGTATACTTAATACTATTGTATTGTGCACTGGACATTTGCTGAGAGAATACATTTCGTGTGCTTTTGTCACAAAATGGTATTTTTTTCTTTTTTGGTGGTACTGAGGTTTGAATTCAGGACCTCACACTTGATAAACAGGTACTCTACCTCTTGAGCCACTCCTCCAGTCTTTTGTCTCTGGTTATTTTTGAGATAAGGTCTCACATTTTGCCCAGCCTTGATCTTCCTATTTTAAGTGTCCTGCCAAAGGTGGGGCAGGTGTGTGACACCATGTCCAGACTTTATTCATTGAAATTTTTTTTTGCCCAGACTTGTGTGGAACTATAGTCTTCCCTATCTCAGCCTCTGGCATAGCTAAGATGACAGACACAGGCCACTGCATACAGCTATTGGTTGAGATGGGAACGTGTGAAGTTTTTACTAGGGATGACTTGAACTGTGATCCTCTTGGTCTCAGTCTCCCACAAAGTTGGGATTATAGGTGTGAACTACCAGTGCCTGGCTTAATTTTTTCATATATTTATTTGAAAAGATAGGTACATTAATTTGCTTGACTATAGTAATTATTTCATTAAGTATAGGCATATCAAGTGCCATGTTATGTATATGAAACATATATAATAAATAACTACTCTACCTGGCTATGTCTTATTTATGCTGCCTCTTCCATTTCTTGTTGATAGTTTTGCTACAGATTTCTCTATTAATGACATTAAATTACATTTTTAAATAGCCATTTGATGTTTTCATTTTGTTTCTTGGTTTTATATTTCATTACTTTCAGTATTGCATTTCTTCTTCTTCCTTTCATTTACTTTAGGGCTATTCCTGTTGCCATTTATTTCAAAGTATTTTGTGACTGCCATTATGACATTTTTTAATGTTTGAATTATTTAGTATCACTTTACCTTTTCCAAAAGCATAAAGATTTTAAAGCTGTTCCTTAATAGATAATTTCTAAGTCCATAGCACTGTCAGGAGAGAATTCTGATTCTTGTTCATTCCTTGAAATAGTTTTTGGAAATGGCTTTCTGTGCATTTATAAATAACAGATATTCTTCATTTGCTGCATGCTGTCATTCTTTTGTATATTCCCATTGGATTATATTACTTAATTTGTTAAACAAATCATCCATTTCCTTATCAATGTGTTACTCTTTGATCTATCAGTAGTGTTATGAGTTTATACTCTAACTCTATTAACTTTTGTTTGATATATTTATGAAGATTTGGGATAGGTTCGTACGAAAAATAAGGCCTATTCTATCTTCTGAGGAGATCTTTGCTTTCAGTTTACCAGCACTAATGTGTTACTTTTATTGTCTAACATTAATATTATAACAGCAAATATTTTGTAAGTAATCAGAGAGATTACCTTTTGAATCCCTTCATGAGTTTGCAGTCAGTTGTAATTATCATTTTCTTTTAAATATATTTTTCTAAGTATATCCTTTTTTAAACATGTGAATTTAGTCCATTAACATTTATTGGAATTATGCTCACATTTTATTTATTTCTATCATCTTCTGTGTTTTCTGTTTAATCACAACTTTCTTTAATTCTTTATACTTTATTTGCTCTTATTTAGTTTTGATTTAAAGAATTTTGTACAGACCTTTATTTCACCCCTCTTTGAGAAGCAGCATATGGTATTTTACTTTTACTATTTGAGTAGACATTCTTATTTTGTATTACCACAGTTACTCAACTATAAGTTTACCTAATCAAGTATATTCTGCAGTCTCGCTGGAATTATTTAAGTATAAAGTTTTTTTGAAAAATTATTTCTATATGGTATTTAGATTTCACATTCTACCCAAGAGCTCATCTCTTCCATTCCGGAAAATTCTTAGCTATTTTTTCTTCAAAGGTTGTTTTTCCTTGTATTAATTTTGTTATGTCCACAATACTTCATCATAAGCCCCATGCAGACACAGTGGTGAGTGCCATAAAACCAGCATGCATTCTTGCTCACAGCGTGTGGGTGAGTGAAGGGCTCTGTTCCATGGCATACCTGCAGTTTGCCTGGGGTTTGGCTGATTTAGATTTGACTCTAGCCACAGGCTTGGATTTGGTCAACTCCATGTACTTCTCATTGCACTCAGAGCAGCAGGCTCTGAGTGAAACTGCCAAGAAGAGTAATTGATAATATGCCATCATATTTTAGTTATAGGCCTGGACCTGTCACTTCTTCCCATCTTCCAATGGGCAAGTAAATCATATGCCTAAAAGTAATACTAACAGTGCAGAACTATACTACTCTTACTAAGGGTTGACAGGTAGAGAAGAGTGTTTATTCATTGAACAATAGGTCACTCTATAATATTCATCATTTTTCCTATTGTCTATTTCTAGATCTTTAACTAGACAGATGTTGGAGGAGGTCTTAAATAATTTTTACATCTCAACCATTGATAGATTTATAGATAGATACACAGATAGATGCATAGATATATAGACAGAGTATAAATTTTTTGACTATATTACATTCTGAATAAATACCATGACATTTCTTTCAATTTACTAATTCTCTTTTTAGCCATAGAATCCCTCCTAAAGGGTAGAGAAAGAGGGTTAAGAAAGAGTGTGCACAACTAAAAGCCAGTGGCAAAATTTCTGAAAGATGATCTGTTTATCACATGTAAGAATCTATTACACTTTCTAACTACATGGACATTGGATATAACAGTAAATATCAGACTGCTGTTGTCCATAGCATGGAAATCCATGTCACGAATTATGGTTAAGCTCGTAGATAATCACTACCTGTGCTTTCATAGAATTGGCCAAGTGTGCAGTCTGAGAAGATTGATATTTGACAGTCCTGGAGGTCCTAACCTGGCCATTCCTATTCCAGTCTGCAATTAGAAAACATCTGAGAATGCAAAAAGATATATTCCACTATCCCAGTCAGATGTGCCATATTGGGCATAGATAAGTCACTCTGTATAACTAATGTTGCAAATGACTATGTACAGCTAGTGCTCTGAAGATGTGTGACAATCTGTTTTTAAACATCATTTCATTTCAAAATTGTTGTGAAAAGAATTATCAACAATTAGTCACTAAATACCTCTGAGCCTCTGCAAGAGATCTCCAAAATTGAAATAGTAATATGTAACTTTATTTTAAAAAGTTTAAATTTTAATATATATATATAATTTAATTATTTGTCTTTATTTTCTATTTCTTTAAATTACATATAGCTACTTCTCAGTTTTTGGTGAGGTTACATCCTGATAACCCTATCATAAGTTGAAAATATCACAAGTCAAATGTGTCTAGTGCACCTTACCTTCTAACCATTAGAGCTTTGCAACACAGTGTAGTGCAAAATGTCACATCCAGGCTTGTGATCATGTGGTAACAGGGAGCCACATCTTTATGCCTCTGCCAGCATTTCAGGAAGTATTGACACACACCTTGATCACTACTCCACGGGAAGATCCGAATTCAAAATTCAAAGTGATACAAATCACTTTTGTACTATCATAATATTAAAGGAATTGCAAGTTAAACTATTATAAGTCAGGGACAATCTATGTAGTCCATCTATCTATTATCATCATTGGGCACAAAAAAGAAACATTTCCTTCTAGAACCAGGAAAGAATTTATGTAAAGGATAGTAATTGGTGCACAGGTCAGTAGGAACCATAAGGATTTGTGTTCTAATAAGCATGATTTTCCACAAAAGATCCAGGAGCTCCCACAGCATCCTCCAGACAATCAATCACCAAGCCTGGATGGGGTGCATCTCCTGATCTAACCACCATAGGAGGAGTAAAAGCTGCCAAAACTGCACTTCCAAGAGCTGGCCTGCTGGCTCTGCTAGACAACTCTAAAACATGGACAGCCCCCAAAACAGTGTGCCTTCTGACAAGCAGGCTGTTTAGGTCTCCAGTGAGAAAGCTGCTCTTACCCTACATGAAGGGATGGCAGCAAGAATGTACACAG